ATTTCAATGACATTTGGTACATAGATGTCATAGGACACTGCACAAACCTGATAGTTTTTAGGGTAATATGAGTACATATTAATTATCTAATTTGCATAATTAATTAATTTTCAGCTTTTGATATATCAAGTAGTAATCATCATATTTCAGTGAGACTTCTAGGATTATGCAGAGACCTAATTAGTTTTAATTGGATATTAATTACATAATTTGCATAATGTTCCACTGATATATAAAGAACCACAAATTGGATTTTAATGAAACTTTTAAAGAGAACTATGCAGAAACCCAATTAGTTTTTGGTAAATATTTATGCTTATTAATCTCCTAATTAACATAATTAATTAACACTGATATCTCAATTACTGATCATCACATTTGAATAAAATTTGGTACATAAATGCTCTAGGACAATAGACAGGCCTGATTAATTTTGGGTTAAAATTTGTTCATATTAATTCTCTAATTAGCATAATAATTCATAATTTTTTTGTTCTGTTCTGTTCATATTAGTTACCTGATGTACATAATTAGTTTTCAGCTTTTCTATCAATATCTCATGTACAAGTAATTTTTAATGTGTCTTCAATACTCTCAGCACACGGGAGTTCTTTCTAAGCTTTCTTTGATTACTTTTTAGCTCCGCTGTCTGCTTTGTTGAGCAGAGCTTATCATATGAGTGATTGTCCAGCGTCCGTGTCAATGTTTTACTTTTTCAACTTCTTCTTGGAAACTACATGTCCGATTGCTTTGATATTACATATATAGGTACTACATGTGGACCTCTCTCAGTTTTGTTCATTTCGTGATGATATCTTAAATTCTCTAATTTTGGTGAATATTTTTGTCATTTTTGGTAAAAAGTGATATTTTCTTGTTAAAAACCACAATCATTTATGGTGAAAAATGATATTTTTGAATTCTTGTTGAAAACAGCAAGTCCCATTGCATTGATACTATACGTATTGTTCATTTTCTAAATATTCACTAATGTGAACTTTATTTTCATATTTCTGAAAATTTATGTAAATGTCTGAATTTTTAATTAAGCAAATATAGTATATCATACAAATTTTGTATGTGCATTTTCATTAGATGAAAACTACAATGGCAATGTTTTTATTGTGTAATGTTTGATTTCAGACTTATTTGCCAGGCTCTGTGAAGAAAACTCATTTCCATCAGGAGCTTTTTGTACTATTTTGGAAGATGTGTGACGCAAATAAGAAATTCTTGTACTATGTACTAAAAAGCAGTGATGTATTAGATGTCTTGGTTCCTATATTGTATCATTTGAATGATGCTAGAGCTGACCAATGTAAGTAACCATGGTGATTCCAACTTAGGTGAATCCAGTTACTACGTGTGGATTTCACTGTTTGCAAGTTGCATGTTTGTGTCAGTCACTATGTGTGAATCAAGCTTTGTCATAAAAAAAAACACTTGTACACGGTGGCTACTAATATCCAGATGATGGGGATCTGCATTTCTGTTTGATTCAATCATTTTTTCAATTTGTATATATAAATTATAAATTATTTATTTCATAAATTTCACATTTGGCTATACCACTTGATACCAGAAGTCTGGAATACCAGAATGATTAGAGAATTGCATAGAGAATAGAAAACAGAGCTAGGAATGTGAAATGAGGCATTGAATAAATTCACTAAGTGTCAGCAATAGTTTTCCATTTTTAGTCCTGAATGCCTATTTTATTAATTATTTTACTTTCAGCTCGTGTTGGGTTAATGCATATTGGTGTGTTCATACTACTATTGCTGAGCGGTGAGCGCAATTTTGGAGTCCGTTTAAATAAGCCTTACAGTGTGAGAGTACCCATGGATATACCAGTATTTACTGGCACACACGCTGATTTCCTCATTATTGTAAGTATTTCTAAACAATGTAAGCACTCCCACAGATTGCATTAAAGAGATAATATGGATAATTTAGAATATTCTTGTGAACATTTTATGATATTACATCTTGATAAAAAAAGTAAGGTATAATTTATCTTAAAATAAAAACATATCAATATTCATTAGATGTAATAATAAAAAATTGTAGTATGTGTGTACCTCATCATATTTATGAATATGTACATGTAACTCTAAGCAATCATTCAATGAAATAACAATACATGTATTTTTGATTGAGATTTTGAATGATCTTATTACTGAGTTTCTTTTGTTTTCATTCAGTCTAGCTCTGTTGCCAGCATTGCATGGAGTTGTCTTTGCTACTTTTCACTGAAAGGTCTTAACATTGTTATAATTGTATTGACAGGTATTTCATAAGATTATTACGTCTGGACATCAGAGATTACAACCATTGTTTGACTGTCTATTAACGATCATTGTCAATGGTAAGTATCATGACACGACAGAAATAAAGAAAGAAAGAACGACATTAGAACCAACATGATGTGATAGCACAATGTATTTTATGCAGCGATATGTGAAGCCTTTGTGTTAAACATATTGTTCATTTAATGACATTAGGACCAACCATGGTACATGTGTTTCATTTCTGAGCTTTGACCAGCCACCTGCTGTGATAGCACAATGTATTTTACAATATTTATCTTTATTACAATGATGCGAGCAGCTATTGCATTGAGCATATTGCCCCCAAATAAATATGTCATTCCTGTTTTGGTATCTCATAATATTTCTTTCTTTTCAATTTCAGTATCTCCGTATTTGAAGAGTTTATCAATGGTGTCTGCAAATAAATTACTACACTTATTAGAAGCGTTTTCAACACCATGGTTTTTATTTTCCAATCCAACCAATCATCATTTGGTTTTCTTTCTGTTAGAAGTTTTCAATAATATTATACAGTATCAGTTTGATGGTGAGTTCATTTTACTTTACCCCTTCATAACCTTTCACCACAAAATTTTTAGATGTTTCGATTTAAAACTTGATTAGATTGGAGATTGAGAATGAATGTACCAAAATAATGAATGTACCAAAACCATTCTCTCAGCTTTGTTGTCATTCTTGGAGCACATTGTATACTTTAAATATCGCACAAACATATATTATTATACATCTGTCACCATAAGTTACAGCGAGCTGTAAATTTGCATTATTGCACTGGGTATTTTCATTCTACCATATTAGTGGTGAGTAAAGTGAATTCCAAATATGGAATGATTATGCGCATAAGCATCCTCTAATAATAAAAACAAATATGGCTGCCCCCAGGGTTTTGACTGGACCCCACACAAAAAAGTTTGCTGATTCTGTTCTAAATTTTTTTAGCTCCGCTGTCGACTTTGTCGAGCGGAGCTTATCATATGAGTGATTGTCCGTCGTCGTCCGTGTCAATGTTTTACTTTTTCGTTTTCTTCTTGAAAACTACAAGCCTGAATGCTTTGATACTTGGTGTATATGTACCTTGGGTAGACCTCTCTCAGATTTGTTCATTTCATGATCATATTTTCAATTCTCTAATTTTGGTGAATATTTTGTCATTTTTGGTATAAAGTGATATTTTCGACTTCTCGTTAAAAACTGCAAGTCCAATTACTTTGATATTACATATATAGGTACTACATGTGGAGCTCTCTCAGATTTGTTCATTTTGTAATGATATCTTTAGTTCTCTAATTTTGGTGAATATTTTTGTCATTTTTGGTAAAAAGTGATATTTTCGACTTCTTGTTAAAAACCGCAAGTCCAATTGCTTTGATAATACATATATAGGTACTACATGTGGAACTCTCTCAGATTTGTTCATTTTGTAATGATATCTTTAATTCTCTAATTTTGGTGAATATTTTTGTCATTTTTGGTAAAAAGTGATATTTTTGACTTCTTGTTAAAAACTGTAAGTCCGATTGCTTTGATACTATACATATTGTTCATTTTGAATGATGTCTTCAGTTCTTTAATTGAAATGTGCATTGCTAACAGCGGAGCTATCTCAGCCGACAGGCTGCTTGTTAACAATATGATGCATTTTTTTGTGGTTGCTAACTGTATTGAGAATGGGTTGAAAATGTCTGTTTTGGGTTAAATTGTGTTTTTAAATCCAGGTACGGAGCAATAGCAATAGGGACAGGCAGTTTTGGAGGTCAAAGAGAATAACGCAGACATACATATAGATGTCTTGGATCCATATAGGGGGTAGTTTATTACTAAAGCACTATGAACTAAGAAACCAGTGTTTTCACAAGGTATATGCAAATTTATGCAAATGCTATGTAAATGTGAACATGCTGACTTTGAAAACACTTGTAACGTACGTATCTAAAAACTACAGACAAAACTAATGGACTAAAGTCCCCCTTGGAGTTAAAAAGAGACACACTAATCAACCTGGGTTGATTGTTAATAAATGTTAAAAGGAAAACATAGTTCAACCTGTGTTGGTTCTTAATAAAGCTAATACAGCAATCAACCTATGTTGATCATTGTTAGAGTAAGAAAGAGCAATCAACTGGCCTTGACATTGCAAGAATTAGAAATAAAAGAAATCGCACACCCATGGTAAATATCATGACTTACCCATGTGAAAGAGGGTGGGGTGGGTGGGAGAGAAAAAAATGACGTCTGTGGCTGGCTTGGCAATGCGAACTGAGTACTAAATTAAAAATTGCCGGCAAATGAATAATTTATTTATTTATGCTAATAGGGCAGCATAGTCCATATGATTGGTCACAATTGAAATATGCAGATTTGACCTTTAAATCACTGACCTCCCTAAGGGCCTACTAGCTCCCCTGTATTTAAAACTCGTTAATGTATTAACTTTGCCTTAAATCCAGGTAAAATCCGACTCGCAGATGTCATAATAAAATAAAATAACGTTAATAGACTATGTCAAAGTATAATATGCATCACAATAGTATTGTCTCCGTAATTTCTGGGAAAAATGTTTTTATTGTAATGGTGGTGTGGTTTTTGTATGGATGAGCGGAAATTGATGGTGGAAGTCCAACGAAACTTGACAATATTGATGGGCGCCTGTCTTCTTTTGCCAAATGCACTTATTCCCAGAATTTTCTTTCTCTTAATCTCGAAATGTATTCCATTTTGTTTTGATGAAGTCATCTCCACAGCTCAACGACGGTCGGCATTCAAACATCTGAACTCAAGACCCCCCCCCCCCCCCACCGCTTCGTCGCGTCTTTTCATGCAGGGTCAAAGTTCTTACAGAGTGCACAGTGCTTACAGAGTGCCGCGCTTTCTCCAAGCATTCGTTCAGGGACATTAGGTCAATTATTCTCAGGACTTCAGAATCTCCTTTCATTATATTGTCATTACGGCCCACTTTTTTCGTCAAGGCATATGTGTTTCTTCAGTTGTACAGATGTATGATCCTGTGTCTGTCTCGTAGCTCTTTGGTGCAACCTACAATCAAATTTCGCCCTAACAATTTCATTTAATAGTTGAACATAGACATGCTTTATTCCCGGTCAGAGTCAGTCACGTAAATAATAGGGTTGGCAACATAGGGCTATGATTCCACAGCTAACTCAGAGTCGGACTCTGTCATGGAGCTGTCACTTTCGATACAGTATGCACTAAAAATCCTGTCTTCTCTTTGGTTATGATAGGAACCATGTTCTCCTTTTTACTCCATGTGGCATTGTTGTATATAATAAATAAATCTCTGGATATAAAATAGCTGATGTGTTGCGTATGAACGGCGTTTGTGAAATCGTGGAGGTAGCTCCATGGTGAAAGAAGTACACAGGAAACGAAACTACTGTTAAGCTCCAGTGATCAATCAACATTAATTAAGCAGGATTTATGCAAATTAAACAGTTAAACTAAGACCGTGGCACATGTGTTTGTTTTTAATAATTTTAATCCTAGTTTATAAGGTGTTCTACTCACAATAGAATTTTGAAATTTTCGCTCAAGAACAAGAACGTTTTCTGCTTTATAAAAAGTTAAAAAAGTGAAATTTCACCTCTAAATGCATTTTTCCCTGCAACGCCACCTTAAAGCAATTGATGGTTTACATTGGCTTCTATTTGAAATGTGTTTCTAATAGAACAAGTAAGATGATCATCTTTAAATTCGTTTGAATGTACTGATCTGGAAGGGTTTATTGTTATCTACTGTTTTTACCATCAGGAAATGCCAATTTGGTTTACACCATCATTCGTAAGAGAACTGTCTTTCATCAGCTAGCTAACCTGCCAACAGACTATCAGTCAATTACCCGTGCTCTCAGCAGACGTAGGAAGTTGTCATCAACTGGTTCTACTATCGATGCTGAGCCTATTATGGAAGGAGCCATTCCTGCAGCTGAAGCTGAACCAGGAACACTTAAAGCTACATTGGCTGCTACACCAGGTATGGACTGAATAGTAGGAAAGCATGGGTGGTACATATTCACTGCAAACTGAGATGGATTAACAGCACTGCAATTAATGTTACTTTATTGATGATTTGGACTAATGGTTGATGATGGAATGAGTATACACAAGTTGCGGGAAATTTTTCTTATATGTGATAAATGTTAGAATTTTATTTGCTAAATACTGCTTTTAAATCTGATATCCTTGAATTCACTCTTGTTCCAAATCACAGCGAACAATTTCTCACAAATCACACATATCCATACCATCAGTTATTAATTTAAGTATTAGTCCCAAAGCACCAATAAAAATGCAATGGTTGAATGACTAACGAGAGTCTTATTTGGCCTTCTTCTCTAAAACTACAGAATGGATCTACCCTGAATTTGGTCGGCGATAAAATACCAACTTGGTATTGCTTTAGTGTGAATGAATTCTTTTAAGAGCTCTAGTTTAGACTTGACATTGAACCACAAGAAATTGATAGTGCTTGATCTGAACTCAGTCTGCTCTGTCATTTACAGATTAGGAATTAATGTTTAAAGGGATGATGTCATCATAACTAAATGTCAATCACACACAACATGACTGGCTGCTTTGTTGATAAGAGCAGAAAAACATGTTCATGTATAGTTATGACGAAAGTATCTCTTTTAATACAGCATGTACACTAGATACATTATAATTACATTGAATTGTTTATGAGGTTGATCTGGTTGTACACCACATACGTATAGATATGAATGAGTTTGATGAAATATATCTACCAAAAGTTTCCATGTCTAAATAGAGAAACAAGTATGGTAATCACAAGGCAACCTATCTCAACCAAATATTCCAATATAATTTGTATCCACTGCACATGAAATGCAGTTGAATTCTTGTTGTGTCTTAAATAGGAGTTTTATTATTGTTTTAAATTTAAATCTATTGTTATTATTGTTGAACAGAAACATTTTAAGAATGTCACAGAATTCTTGTGCAGTTCATTCAAGATAATATGGTTTACAGCTTTGTTAAAAAATCGCTTGCTGAAAGACTCTGCAGATAGCTGAAATAAAAGCATCAACAAAGAATAACATACAGTACATCCTATCTTAATTTTATTAGGTGTTGAAAGGATGACTGAAAGGACCGAGTTAGGGGCTCCACCAACTGAAGCATTAGCTACAAATGGTGCTACCCATGCTGTTCAGCCACCCGATAGCCTGCAGGTAAGTTAACATGTCATGTACATCAGTAATATTTGGATCATTATAGTCACAATCCATATAACAGTAAATTATAGTAAGTTAAAAAGTTCTCCACATTAGACAAATTATAGTATAACTATTTTTAGCTGCCTGGCAACTCAATAACAGTATGCCCTCTTTTGCTGGTCCCCTGGGTCCCCTGCGAAAGACTAGTAGAACTAATTAGCCATTGGATTCACATGTCTAAGTGACCTAATTTTAAAGCATTTTTCAATCTCCGTAAGACAAGTCTGTATTCTGTTATAACACCATCCCCATTCAGTCTGCCTGCTTAAACTTCATATTTGAGATGGTTCTGGCATTTCTCACTATTCCTGTGCAAAGTGAAAATAAAACTGTTATATTTGTGCAATCTTTGCAAGTCAAAGAAAACTCCTGCTCTATATATACCGGTAATACAACCACAAGCTTATGCGCCGACATCAGGAAATAGAACATGGAACATGATGGACATGATGGACCAATTAGAATACTGGAACGATCACTTGTTACCTGCTTCTTGTGGCTGAACACTTGAGGCGTAAACCAGCCAATATATGGCATCTCAATAACAGTATGCCTTCTGAGAGGTCACTTATATAAATAGTAATAACAATTGATATTAAAAGCACAGTCAGCTCAGGAGCCAATCAGCGACAGCCTTACTGATGACAATTTTGGTTTCTAATTTCCCGAGAAAGTGTTCTATGTTCTTCTTGTAATAGGTGTTCGTATGCAAGGTATTTTTCCACACAAAAACAATTAATTTGGCCAAATTTCATTAGTGATTGGCTTAATATTACCCCAATGGATCTTCTGACTGTGAAGGTGTGGTATTTTTTAGTCCCCGTTTGGACGAAGTCCAAAAACAGGGACTATTAATTTAGGTTCCATCCGTCTGTGCGTCCGTGTGGCCATCCTGGGCCATTTCTCGGACATCGGACACCCTTTGACCGATCTCGTTCAAACTTGGCATACAGACAATTTATGATGACCTACATATGCATGCCAATTAAATATGGCTGATTGACAGCCATTTTGTCCTTCAAATTTGCTAAATTCTGATATATAAACGTGTCCGGAACTGTTTTTCGGAGTTGAACAGGGTGATTTCAATCAAACTTTGTATGGCGATCATGCATATTGGGTTATAGTTGCACGTCACTTTTTTTTCGAGATTTGGTTCAAGATGGCTGGGCACCTATTTTTTTTTTTTTTTTTCGTTTTCGTGCTGATTCCTCCATAAGATATGGCCTGATTCAGTTCAAAGTTTGTACATAGGTACTATACTTCAAGATAACACAAAACCATGTTTTGTCTTGAGATTTGATCAAATTTGTCGAAATGGCGGCCATTTTGTCAAAAAAACGTAAAATATTATTCTGTAACATGTCCGGAACTGTTTCTTGGAGCTGAACGGCATTTTCAATCAAACTTTGTATGTTGACCTTACATATTAGATTACGGTGCAAGCCATATTTCTTTTGGAGATACTTGAACAACAATACCCGACTGGCTGCGTTTTTCTTTTATGCTATTTCCTCGGTAAGATATAGTCCAATTCAGTTCAAAGTTTCTACGTAGATACTATACTGACAGTAACACAATCTATAATCTGTGTTAGTGTTGGTATTAAAAAAATATTGATCTTTCATTTCTACATGTACATGTCACTTGTACTTAACATCTACTTCGACTACAGCTAATACTTAGCGGGGACTATGCATTATCAATGCTTGTTTTCTGATATGTGGGAATCTGAAAAATTTGTTTCTCAACTTGTCTTTATTCAGTTTCAAGCCATATTCAAGATGGTGCCCCCATATAGTAAATTTATACGCCAGCTGATTGTTATTAGAAGCTACATTTGTCATTATTAAACATTATTAAACAGGGAGGGTTACTGAATTTGGATGATTCCATATTCTGTACATACTTGTATATATTACCGTATATTCTTCCTCCAAAAGATTTGTTGAATGTTTTTTATTTTTACTGTTTCTTAAGTATACAAAATAAAAGTATACACATTTTTACCAATTCAGTGTTCTTGTGAAAACAAATTAATGTACAATGTGAAATGAACCAATTCTATGAATAGCATAGAATATATAAATGTTTTTAAATCCTAAATGATTACTCCTTTCTTGCTCACATTTAATGATAGAATGGTACACAAGTTGGTCTTACATTTCCCCAGGTACAGTTGAATAATTATATTCGGTGTATATTCCAGTTACTTGCCTTGTTTTATCCATGTATTATCACCTAAACATAAACTCCTACATCTTACCTACCCTCATTTTCATTTCCTCCCCGTCCTCTTTCCCCCTCCTCTTTCCCCCCTCATTCCATATGTTAGTAGATACTCTGCTATTACTCATTTTTGTCGTACATCTATGAATCGCTGTATTGAATAACCACCAACATATTTATCAGCTGTTACCCATGTTCAACCATAGAAATGTACATTGCACACAATATTATTAAATACTCTGAATTTTTCAAGTATACTGCATCCCTAATCAGTAATTGCCTGTTGTCTACTGTGATATCATGTTAACCAATATTGGATGCTAGAATTTCCAGCTAGATATCCCCCATAATTACTTGTTATATTATCGCATGAGACTTGTCGCTAGTTATTGATGTTGGTGTTTTGTATAAAAGTATATGTACTGCAAAATAAGAGAAATACAGAGCATGTGAAAACAATATTTTATAAATGTGTGAGTCAGTTTACAACCTTGTATCAAATAAATAGGTTTATTTTTTTTGCCTGATCTTTTATAAAGCTTAATTATTTTCATCGTTTTAAGTTAAGGAAAATATTATCATTATTGGTTCACCCTTTATTATTATTATCTTATTTCATGTGTGATTGCAGGCTGGAGCTGGTGCAGTTAGTGCTAGCGACACAGAGAGCTCAGCTGCTGAGGAATATAAACCTCGTAGTAGAGGAGATAGTTCATCTGTAAATAGTAAACCAACCAGTCCTACGACATCAATACCACTTGGTGGTCATGGTATGCTACGTAGGGCTGGATCTACTGCCAGTGATACATGGAAAGCTACTTCTGATTGGGTAAGTTGTCTTGCATATATAATGAACTTATTTGCATATGTTCCTTCATGCTCAGTCAGTGTAACAATTGTAATTTGCATGAGACAAATTTTCGAGAGACTGAAAATCACAAAATTTGGTAGCAATGACGATTTCTCTGAAATGCTACAAAATGCTGTGTGAGTGATGAATGCCATAAAATCCTGATATCATGAAAATTGTTAGTGATGAAAATTAGATTGTTTACAGTACATATGTTTGGTCATTTGACTCAACTAGCACAGCGATAAGGATTTTAATGTTTGGTTAAGAAACAAAAATTTCAAAAGCTCTGGTAGACATTGAGAATTACCACTAACTTACTTGCGTTTTCTGGCATTGCAGCAGTGAACTTTTGAGGTAAAACAGTCTCTAGATTGGTTTAACAACTTATGTAATATTTGTCTATCAGGTGCAGTCATGGAAACAGAAGTTACCACTACAGACTATTATGAGACTGTTACAAGTATTGGTGCCGCAAGTAGAAAAAATATGCATTGATAAGTAAGCACAACATTTTTATTAAATTGTCATTCTTCATCAGGTGAGAAATCATCAGGCGATACTTTGGGGGAAATGGATAGTACATTATTCTTTGTTAATGAATTCTATTCATGTGATTTTATATTGAGAATTTCTGAAGCTACAACTCTTTCAACATCATTGCAAACCGTGACTGAGATAAAGTCTGTTAAGTTTCTAGTATAATAGACAAAACACCAATGTGTACTCAAAAGTACCCAGTAACTTGGCCGAGAAGGGATTAAATACAACGCAAGACAGTTACGCAAGACAAAACAAATCTCTCTTGACACAAGGAGCCGTAAACAGACACTGGTGGCGCTGTATACAAACAAAATCTATTTAGGCTTGCCAACGCTCACGCTGGCAACAATGTATATTTAGCTAAACTCTTGAGGTTTACTGCATTTCAAAATGGTATTCTCAAGTCACTAAACAAGTTATGTTTTGGATTTTTGGGAAAATGACATCACAAGGTCAAATTGTGTGCAAGAACCAATCAAGTTGCTAATGAAACAGCATATAAAAATATACATGATACATTTATTTACTATTACAGGGGTTTGACAGATGAGAGTGAGATACTGAAATTTCTACAGCATGGTACACTGGTTGGACTTTTACCAGTCCCACATCCCATTCTGATCAGGAAGTACCAAGCTAACAGTGGTACAACTATGTGGTTCAGGACTTATATGTGGGGAATTATATATCTTAGGTATGTACTTACAACTGATAAATGTGGTATGATTGGTATTCTCTCTGATTGTTGTGATATGTCTACTGTGTTTTCACTATTAGCAATACCATGCAATGCAACAATTGTTAAGCTCAGCGAATAATGCAATGAAACATTTCAAACTACTCAGATTCTCCGATATCTCCTTTCAATTACAAATCATGTGTACTCTCTTGTCTTGACTTTTAATGAAGATGTGTATGGTGATTTTACAAGTTTTAGAAGTACATGTAACAGGCACATTGTCAGTCTCCAAACATACTGAGATACACCCAGATTTGTTTTTCACTTTATTCATACAATGTCATAACATTTACCTTTCAACATTGTAATGTAATGACTTCTATTAAATATCCAGTATATGCTAATAGTGAACATGCACTGCAGTAGTTTGACATCAAGCTGGTTGAGAGAGTACTGTAAAACATGTTGAAAAAGCGGCATGCAATTTTAGCGAATTGTGGTAAAATGACGTAATAGCGAAATGTTGATTTAGAGAATCTCTCTTGTCATTGTTGATTTCTTTGTTTGGTGGCCATTTTGAATTGATAATAAAGTCATTAGCGACATCTTGAATTAGCGAATCAGTTCTCTCGCTAAATTAGCGGAACATACATGCTCGCGAAAAAGTCATGTTTTACAGTACTTGTTTGTGTTGTGAAATCTCTTGTCACTGATTCTACTTTCTTACTTTCAGCACTGATGCTCAGTTCATCTCTCCTAACAGCATGCAGAGCTTTAACTGCTATCACTACTAATATATGTATATATATATGTATTCTAACTTGGTACTTGACTCTACAGCATGTGTTATTTTACACAGGACATCTTTGCTTTCATTACTGGGTGTGTTATCATGCATGCTGATGTATCCTACAGCTAATCACATTGCAGTTCATAGAAAGAGTGGTGCATTTCAAGTTTGGGGTTACACTACTCAAAGGGAGCTACATAATGCATGCAGGACACTCATGAATACAAATTAAATTATCATTGGAGTAATTTTACAAACAAACATTTATCTGACACTACAACATCTAAAAGAGAAATGCTAGCCTTTGTTTGTTTGTGCAATTACTCCAATTATAATTTAATTTATCTCTATGATCACAAGTTTGATGAGTTTTTATGAATCTATATTGGCTTAGGTCAATCACAAAGCTTGCATGGACAATCAAGAATGCATCCTATACTAAACTATTGGTGGTGGAAGGGATGGGGTTTCTTGAATTAGTTTAATGCTTATCTATATTTAGCAACATAAGGCTGCACTCATGATGGTAAATGATGAGTAAATTATCGTATTTATCTGAAAGATCGCCTACTGTAAAAGATCTCTCAAGGGTGATGTTTCAGCACCTGGGCAATCTTTTGGTGTCGCAAAAACAAATAAATATCGTAAAAAATAACTGTGTAGTAAAGAGTACAGATTAATTGGTTTCAAGTCAACATTAGTGTAGCGGGTGTTTATAGTGAGAATCTCATGCACACAGTGTCAACTAATAAAGGTTTGTAGGAAATATGCAATCCTGCCAAACAATAGCACTGTGACATCCAAGTTACATTCAAAAAAATTATGCAAGTTCTTTGTTCAAATAATTTAGATTGAACTAAAAAACTGAAATCTTCGTTGATCTGGCAAGCTTGTAGTGACACAAGGTCAAGCAGCTATCCAACCAAAAACAGGGTTACTCCTGGCATTTGTATATGTTAGTAATGAACTTTTGACAACTTGGTATTGAAGTTGTGCAAGATTTCAGAGCGGTGCTTTCTCAATCTATCCGCATTGACTGAGGAAATGTTCCAATCTACTGGGTATACGCATTGCTTTAAGGAATTTTTTTCATGCCACATGCTTATACATTGTAGTTATTTTTTTGTCGTGAGTGAAAAAGATTCATTGTATAAAACAATGTTGAGAAAAAGTGCCTTGTATGCTGTTTTGGTTCTGGTTATCTTTCAAAATATGACCAGTCATCCAAAACATCACCCAGGGCAATCTTTCAGATAAAAACAGTACTATTATGCCAATTGGATATAAATACCCTCACGTTATTGACTAATTAGATTCTTTTAAGGGATTATCTATTTGTCTATCAAAGCTACCCTGTCTCAACTGAATGTGTTCAGGGCGTACTAAGGTTGCTGTGTTTGAGGCTCATCCATCCTAACTGGCACTGCATGGTAGTTCATTAACCTAGTGTTTTTCTATCTATCTCTCACATGCAGTTGTTATTCTCTGTTTGATGTTCCTTCTGTCTGTGTAATTGCATGTTGGGTGTTGTTTTTTCACTCCAGCTAAATAAATGTGTGCATGGGATATTTTACTTCTTATTTGACTTTTTGTGTCGCACATTGCAAATACCATTTGATGTGCTCTTGTGTATATTATATGCGATCAAAGTGGCTCAATACAGTTTCACAATTTTTTTTATATTTTGCCAATAAAATGCTCATTATTGTACAAAGTAATATGTATAAAAAAAAGTGGTTGTACAGATGTATTGAGATAAATATGATATTACTGTATGTGGATTTCAGATTCTATGAGGAAAATCTTTGTAATGAAACAATGTTTCCAAAATAACATTTCCAAAAAATAAATACAGGGGGACTGGGGTATATACTTATTTGTAAAAATACAACAATTTTAGTAACTTGTCCTATGCATGGAAGGATAGAATATGTTCTCACATGAGAACTCCTGCACATCCACAACCTACCTATGATGTTCAGGAAAACATTTTGAGCAACCTTAATTTTAATATTTCTAATATTTAAAAAATATATATATATCCGGTAACAAATTATTTGGAAATTGATAAAAAGACAAAATATGAATTTTTCATAAAGTCAATTTGTTGTCTTGTGTGCATCTTGATATCATATTTGGCACTACTTTCAAGCCTTTGTTGTATATATTGTGTTCTTGTTAACCCATATCACTGCTCCACCAACTACTCCACTGGTTTGTCACCCATGTTTTCTGCCTCGCTTTCTCTATCTAGGAACATAGATCCACCTGTTTGGTACGACACAGACGTTAAGCTCTTTGAAGTACAGAGAGTTAAAGACGTTAAAGAATCGTAACATGACTGAGCAGAATGACCATCTATAACTGTGATCTGTGGTATTGTCTGAATCAGTGCTGGTGTTTCCTGCATGCTCAGTATTTGTAACCTCACTCTGTATGATCTGTGGCAGAAACTCTATTTATTCACATGTATCCCTTCTATATGTAAAATAAAATATACAAAGGAGTCTCATCAGGATTTGTGAACATTGTGATGGGATATGTAGTTACTGTCTAATTAGATACCTGCCATGGAGTGTCAAGCAATGATCCTAAATTCCTGGCTCATGTCAACTGGAAAATTCACTAATTGCAGATACTTATTTCATTCATTCCATGTGTCGTCTGTAATTTGTAAATAGTAATTTATATCTAATATTGCTAAAATATAAAATATTAAAAATTCTGCTTCAGCCCATTAAAAAGCAAATAATGTCTAGATGATAAATTATTATCATTATTAGCAATCATTATACTCTATTTATAATTTATATAACTGCTGTAAATGTTAAGGCCACTTTGCTTGAATGGTGAACCATAAGAGTTGAGGGCGCTTTTCTTTGCTGACTTGATTTGTAAAACAAATGAAATATGTTGAGATGAAGTTTGTATTTCCTGAATGTTTTCCAGTACAGCAACCTAATAAAGTATAAATAATTGTCCTGACATTTCAATAATCGGGTGATATATCACCATAGTAACGCATTTATGTTTATTTGCAATTGGTACATTGAATTTTATTGGCCAGGAGTTTTGGATCATGCATGGTATTTTGTCTGCCCTTCCACTCTCTATCTCAATTAATGGAATAACCCAGGCACATGTACTGTTTGGTTATACCAGTATGGAAAGCGGGTGAGAAGGTTATAAATATGCTGGTGGTGGCTGTATTATATATTACCGGTAGTGTTTTTTTATATCAATGTATTTATGAATAAGTATGTGTTACTTTGTATATTAAATTCCTCCCTGACCTATGCACTCTGACCTTTGAACCTAAAGGAATGTGGATCCACCTATATGGTATGATACGGACGTCAAGTTGTTTGAAATCCAACGAGTGTGAAGTGAAGATGTGGAGAAACCTGGATGAGAATTCTAGAAAGTATACCGAACTTAATGATTACATTCCCCATTTAATGTGTAAACAATTTGTTGGTTTTCCCCAGTATCTTAAGTTCCAAACACATATTTTAAAACACATATTTTTCATCGTGTGTCCCAGCTCTGAAATATAAGGAATTTACACCCCATGCATTGTTATTTCTATAAAGGTCACATTACTCAATCTATTAAACAAAGAGTTTCTTTTTTGTTTGGATCTTGTCATTTACCTCACTCCCTTCTTCATATTGGTGACCAATATAACCATAGTTATGAAGAGAAAAGCTAACTACTGAGTATCTTATTAGTAGAGGGGACTGTTTTCAGATACATTTACTTGTAAAGTTTTCTCTTTTCTTGTAGTTATATATAATCATGTATTCTTACTATTTAATATGTAAAATAAATTACTGTAGTAGAAGAAAACAAACTTTTAAGTTAGTTTAAAAGTAGTCTTTGTCGAAATTCTCTTGTTCTCCAACATTTTCTCACCCTAGATCATCATCTTGGTAAATAAGAATGTTGCATTATGGGATTCACTAGAGGGCAAAGGTCAATAAGGGAGTGCAATTCTAACCATTCCAAAGATTACAGTGTACATAAATTATACCGGGTAGTTAACAAACTGATGAAAGGAATTTGGGAAGAGATGTTTTTAGTTGTATGTGGTTTAAAAGTATAGCAGGTTTTACTTTTTTTCATCCTTGGGCTTGTGCAATTATATATGCCAGTCAGTTTGACCTATCAAAGCACAGAACACTTTGATTCCTTGTGATAGTTTCCAAGGACCTGATGCGTTTTTGCTGCATGCCATTCGGTATTGAAACTGTTGACACAACAGAACATAGATAGCAAGTTTTCAATTTTGAAACATTTGACGAGTTGAATTGAACATGAATTTATTTAAAATGCATGTCTGCATGGAGTGTGAGACCTATTGTGTGATCAGTCTAGGCCTGATGTATAGAATAGGTAGTATCAGAATTTGTTTTTCCCCTGAGCACGTTTGGACAATCTTTCTTAAAAAAAAGAAATCTAAATAAATTAACTATAATTGTTGCCATGTAATGAACAAGACACCAAAGTATAATTCTATAAATCTCTTTAATCAATAGCATGAAAATGTTACAGTGCCTACACAGATGATTACAAGAAAAGATAGATTTTTGTGTCCATCGTTACTGCATGCTTTTACAGTATCAATTTGTTTTGAATATTGTAGCATTTGTTTTGTATTATGTTTTATGAGATTTCATTAATGTATTTATGTTTAGGTTGAACAAATGTGAAAACTTTATATTGTCACAAATACCTACAAAGTTTGTGATGTAATCACTATTGCATTTTAGTTTTCAGCTATTTGCTTGTAGATTTCTTTGTTTCTTAAACAGTGTACAAAAACCTCAGTATATATTACGAAAATATATTTGTAAAGAAAAAAAATAACAAGTACATTGTAATAGACATGTGAGCCTTTATTTGTGAGTATTATTTCTGTTTTACTGCTTCAGTGGTTTTTCATAGATTTGCCAGCATTATTTTTAAATGAAGAGAGATTAATATTTGAGGAGTTTGGGATTGCTGGACAGTGTGGTAGTAATCTGTAAGGTTTTAGTTGTAAAGGATTTATCTCATTAAAGGTAAATATGTAACTAGAAAGCATGTGAGTTGAGTATCTATATATTAATAACAGTTCCCAGAAATGCTTTGAAAAGTTTTGTATGCTTCACTGTTGATAAAGTTGAGCAGAGCTCTTCGTATTACTGATTGTTCATAGACATCTTTTTGTTGGCCAATGACTTTGATACTTTCAAGGAGGGTACCTTGGGTGGTTTTACCTCGGATTTATTCATTTCGATTTTCTCTAATTCTTTATTAGTAAAAAAATACTATTTTCAACTTCTCAAACACTTGCCTGATTGCTTTTGTTTAGTTCAAGTTTGGACGCTGTCGGAAAACGGGGACTTATGGATTCACCTCAGTGCATGCATGCGTACATGTATGTGTGCGTCCGGACCTATATCTTGGACATGCCTGGACTGATTACATTCAAACTTCACACATACATCATACATAATATACATGTGCACTTTAATTTGTTTCACAATGTGAATGGCGACCATTTTTGTGCTGAAAAATCATTGAAATGAAGCATCTCTGACATTCTGGAAATAGATGTTGGCTGATTGAGGATGGATGTTGTTCAAACTTGGTACACATAAATTAGACATGGGTCCCTGATGCTTGTCATTTTGTATTCCAGATCAAATTCAAAATGGCTGATTGGTGGCCATTTTGTTTTAATGAATGCTGTTCCAGAGCAATATCTCTCAATATGGACAAGTACTTGTTTGATGATCAGATACAAGATGACTGTATGGCAATCATTTTAATGTTAAAAAATCTCTGACATGTTTATGTTCAAACTATATAGTACTACCGTATATACTATGGTAATATAAACAAAACTATATATCTTAAACTTAATAACTAACCAGGAATGTGCCATGCATGACTTGTTTATATATATATATATCGGGTAAATCATTATAAAGGTGTTTATTGTAACAAAGTTACAGTGTATGAATTTCATATTACTGATGCTTGTCCATACAGTATGCGATGTGAATCAAAATGGCTGATTGGTGGCCATGTTATTTTATTTTTTTAACCTCTTCTCAAACATGCTTTGACTGATTTTGTTGATGAAAGAAAGTATAAAATCAAGTCATGGTATACCTTGGCACATCAATTACTTTTGACGACTTTCGTCTGACTGGTGGCCATTTTTGTTTCGCATGTTTCTCTGTAATGCCTGAGCTAATTTCATTTAAACTTGGTATGAACAAAATGCATTTTATTTGATTTATGGTAGAAACCTACTCATGAATGCAAATACTCAGAATTTATTCATGTTCAAATAAAGTGTACTTCCAGGCATTATAAGGATATCGGCTTAAAAAAGTTGGGGTCATCTAAGTTTCATTGAAATGTGATGATTAGTACATTTTGTACTTGAGATATCAGTGGAAAAGCCGAAAATGTACTAATTAATGCAAATTAGGTAATTAATATGCACAGATTTTCACCCAACACTAATTAAAACCTGGCCTTACTTCAGAGCATCTATGTACAAAGTTTCATCAAAAACCAATGAGTGGTTCTTTAGATATCAGTCATGGAACAGCTTAAAATGAACTAATTATCATGCAAATTAGGTAATTAATATGCATGGTTCTTCTAAAACCTAATCAAATCTGCACCAAGTTCATCAAAAAACGATGTATGGTTCTTGAGATATCAGTGGAACAGACGGACACACACATACAGACACATTAACTGCAAAGACTCCCATTGTGTGCTTTGCACACGGGAATCAAAAATGTCAAAAAATTGTGCTCTATGGAATTGTAGCAATTATTGAAAAATATTAGAACAAGTTTCTCAAAATATGTCGCTGTAACACACAAAATAATGCTATTTCATGGTGCCACGGGACAATAACTTTATGATTTTACATAATAAAACAAACACTCATGCAATTTATGGCCAACTTTCTCAAAAATTAGGAGTAGGCTTCTACCTTAAAACATTTAACCAGTTTATGTGTGACTTGGACAAAACCTGGATAAGGTACTCTAAGAAGTTATGCCATCTTGTTAACATTCTGAACTATGACACTGACGAATTGTTTTGGCAAAGTTACTTAAAATTGAAAGGATTTTCAACTATGCTTTTCCAAAAATACAATTTTAAAGTTACGGTACCTTGTGCGAGATTTGAAGCCATGACAAGAGTTTACAAGACTGATGTGCTAACTAATGTTATGGGTTCAATAACAAACTCATAGCAACATACATCATGACTGTGACAACCACCGCTATTTAATACTGTACAAGGAACAAGTACAATTGTTCACTTTATTATTCAGGTTATGCATGGTTCAGCCTTGGGTTAATGAATAGCTGGTTTATAAACCAAATCTACCTATTTTTGCCAACTCAACTATCCTCATCATAAAATAATTGCAAAGTAAAGAGTTATAAATATGGAAAAAGGTTTCTTGCATTAAAGAGATGTGGTTGCCGCATTCCTTACAAGCTGGCATAAAAGTATACAATGCATGTACACTACTAATACACGCACAATTCAAACACTGCTTTTTAATATTCATAACTACCAATACAAACCACTTGTATGTGTTCTATTTCAGTTTTATTTAATGTCAATTATGACAAATATGATACAGAAGTGTAAAAATGTACAGAAATTATAAAAACATAGGGAACGTTCACCAGATGAATAGCGCCTTTTACATCCAAAATAAAAAATAATGTGATGATTTAACAGAAATATTGACACTTTTTAACTCCCAGCAATTTGTTAAAATCCCCAAACCTGTTTGAGCAGAAATTAAAAACAACTTATAGTGATGTGGTGTATTGTATTTATGGTACCAACCGGCAAAATGATAAATTCTTCATGATTTGAAGGTCATGAAATGTAACATCTAAAAACATTATCATGTACCAATTCATGAAAAACATCGCAATTTTACAATTACAGTAATCATAGTGGCTGTACAGGTATGCTGGATCTTTCAACAATTATTGTAATCACTATAATTTCATCGTTTGTGCTAAAAGTGACTGTAAACTTATTGATGTGATCAAGCACTTACTGAATCTAAGATATTTTCTAACATGAAATAGAATGATGATTGTCCTTTAGCAGTATCTAGCAACCATCAACCTGAACACATTACAAGTATTATATGTGTTACAATGAAAGTATAAGAGCTACATGGCTGTGGTTTAACTCTTCAATAATGACTATACTGAAAAACATGTCTTTTTAGCAAGCATGTTATTTTAGCAAATTTACCTACTGTTAAGTAGTTTATATTCATATATTTTTGCTGAGGGATAAATCAGTGAAAATACCTTTTCCTATATTTTACATTAACAAAAATACACCAATATGTCGTTTCAGTGAAAAATTATTCCAGGTAAAATAAAATATTTTACAGTAATCTGTAATTTTTGCTAATTCAAAATAAATTTTATTCGCACAATGTGATTGCTTTGAAAGGCGATGGTCATTGTGCTGCTTGCCGTTTGATATGGTACTCGTGGTGAGTATACAACGTATGTAAAATGCATTGTTTACATGAAAATCAACCACCCTTTAATCACAGTTTTTAGTAACCGTGCTTTAATTTAGTTGAATTGGCTAAAATGGCATGTAGCTATTGAAACACGTTTTACAGTATACTGGTACACACAAGTATGTCAACCATTGATAATTTTAATCAGCAAGTCAAATAGTGAAAACTTCTGGCGCCCTTCCCTTTAAACATATTTCCTTGTAAAAAATCTAAATTTAAACAAATATTGAATGTAAACATCCCCTACTTTTTTTAAAAATGTATTAGCTAATCAGGATATATAATTTAAGTGTTTTTTAAAGACTTGCATTGTAATGAATTAGAAACAGACAAATATGCCAAAATGAATTCTAAACTTGTTCTCCATGAAATGGTGGGACGCCTTCACTCTTGACGCAGGGGTCACCCCAACCAGGGTCACTGCTGACTGGGGTCACCTCAACCAGGGTCACTGCTGACTGGGGTCACCCCAACCAGGGTCACTTCTGACTGGGGTCACCCCAACCAGGGTCACTGCTGACTGGGGTCACCTCAACCAGGGTCACTGCTGACTGGGGTCACCCCAACCAGGGTCACTTCTGACTGGGGTCACCCCAACCAGGGTCACTTCTGACTGGGGTCACCCCAACCAGGGTCACTTCTGACTGGGGTCACCCCAACCAGGGTCACTGCTGACTGCTGCATTTCCAATATCACCATTACAGTATTTCATTGCTAGAAATCATGATGAACAAATTTTATAGAATCCTTTCTTAACAAAAACACAATTGAGAGTGCTCCTATTCTGTTTTATAAAATTATAATTTATGAATGTCTATTTCTTAATTTTTATTAACTGTTTTCTTTGTTGCTCTAATAATGATTCTAAATGATCAGCTCTCTTAACAGCAGCTGTATGTTGTTGTTTTAATTGGGTGACAGTTTCTTCTTTTTTCACAATGGCTTGTTTTACCCTGAAATAAAAACAAAACAAATACATAGGGCGAATAAATTAGCAAACATATATTTGTTATACCTGGCACAAAATATAATAGATAGATGTTCGGCTCGCGTCTTTCACACAACTCGCGAGACCTCAGTTGAACAGAAAATCACCTATTGTAATAATTACAGCGACGGCGGTGAACATAATTTACTAAGCGTGACATATACATAAATGTAGTTTTGCAATATTTTATTTTATTATTCTCATGATATTAATAATTCTCAATTCCACGTTATGTATATTGTTATGTATATAATAAGTTAGAACACAAACGCAAATTGCAAATTACAAGTATACATTTAGTAATTAATTTTTTAAATGAACCGAGTACATAAAGTAATAGACCGCAAATCAGTTTTCAGTTTTCATGGTACACACATGCCATCTTACCTTTTATGGACCTCAGCCATTTCCTCTTCCTTTTCTTTCTGTATCCTATCAATTTCCAATTTATGCCTAGCCCTCATCTCAGACATCTCAGTTTTCACACGTCTATTTTCCTCCTCCGTCTCTACCAACCGATCAGCAAATTCCTGTCTCACCACATCTTGTACATTCTTTCTTTCCCGCGTCAATCTGTCGCATTCCTATAAGAAATTAAGGCCACACACTGAGTAAGTCATCACATCTCGCGAAATTTTGTAACAAGTCACCTGGTGTTAAAAATAGCTCTGCTGTTTCAGCAGTGCCTTCATTAAATGTTCCCCCAATGCACAGAAAGAACTAATCTAATCTATCCATGGTACACATATTTCAATTTTCAAAGCAATTGGAGAACCGATTTTCAAGAAAAAGTCAACAATAACATTTTTGAGGAAAAAATGACAAAAATATTTGCTTAAAAATAGAGAATTAAAAATATCATCATGAAATAAACAAATCTGACAAAGGTCAAATTGTTGACAGATGAACAATCATCTATATGGCAGCTCTGCTCTGTCATCTATGATGACACCGGATATATGAACCTTCTTTTGAAGGAAGAAATGCTAACCTTGCTGTCATCAACAATTCAACAGTCACAAAAACAAAGCAGAGGTTTTATTGGACAAATCTATCATACCTTTTTAATGTCATCAACTTCTTGTTCTTTTTGATTCATGAGTCCTTGAAGACGGATATTTTCTCCTTCTACCTCACCCAGCCTTGCTTTAAGTTCATTCAATCTTTCTTGTGTGTTCCTTTCAGACCTTTCAATCTCTCTCAGTTCTGCTTCATACTTGTCACGAATACGTCTGCAATAAGAAACAGAAATTTAAAAACAAGGGTTCGTTACCTGTGCATGCAAGGTAATTGAGTCCTAAGCGACGGTAACAAGGCACGCTAAAAATGCAAAGGACGACTCTCTCACTTTAGAAAATGTCATTGTAAATGACAGTCCACATCAATAGAGTGTTGAAATCATATAAAGTCAGTGAAATTAACCTTAAAAGGTTTGAAACAGTAAATTTTGATTCAGAGATACATGTAGAAACATCTTGAATTGGATCTAGAAAAGTAACAATGTGCACTTGTAATCCAATATGTATTATCACCATGACAAGTTTGATTGCATTCTCAGAATATCATTTGATCTTTGATTTGGGACTTTTTGAAGCCTAAAATGGCTGCTACTCAATCAAAAGCCAAATCCTGGTGCATATGTATGGCATCATGTATTGTCTTTATACCAAGGCTCTGAATGAAACCAAAATTAATAGACCCTATTTTTAAGCCTTTGTCAAAATGACGACTAAAAAGTTTGCAGTGATTGTCACTAAAAATTGAGAACAGAAACAAGGCGACAGAAATTCAATAACATCTAATCACACCAGACAGACAGACATGTATCTCTGACAAAAAACAATTACATACTTTATTCTGTTTTCTGCAGCACGTTCACACTCATCTCGTGCAGATTCACTGTCATCTTCCAGTCTCTGAATAACTAATTCAATTTCTTTGTCTCTGTCTCTCCGTACTTGCTCTTTAAGTTCTCTCTCTTTGGCCAGTAACCAGGTTTCCTGTAACGACAATATGTCTAATACATTAACACTCAAATGATGAGTTCCATATGTCGAGGTTATCCTTTTAAATTTAAATACTGTACAACAAAAACAAGCCACTGAGAATTCCCCCTCTTCTTATATTCTTATATTTATGAAACAAATGAACAGTCAGCATTTATATGCTCCATTTGGCACCACTGTATGTGCTAGTTCTATCCTGTGATTTCAATTTCTTAGACTGCAAGACAACTTTGCATGTATGTGTTTGTATATGTTATATCTATATTGTGTATAATTGCATCAGACACAAATCATTTTGTATTGATACACTAGCTCACAAATGTCTGTGTACACAATTTTTACTTTACTGGATGTAAATCTAAATGATTGCCAGTCAGCCATCGTGAATAGGATTTGCATAAGAAATAAGTATGCATCTTTGTAAAACAATACATTGTCCCTGTACCATTTGTTTGTAAAACTTTGTAATTGCCTTATCAAATTATAAGCTATTATATTGTCAATGACATAGTCCCGGTTCAATATTAGTTTTTTTAGTGACTGTGACAGTCAGCCCAGGCATGCCTGAAAAGCATATGAGCTTGATTTGGCAAAGCATGTGTGATATACTGCTAGGTACAGACACATACACACATTGAAGACAATCCTTACATCTATGTTTTCCTCTGAAATGGACTCACACCCTACTATTACCGTATAATCGTAGAATAAGTACAAACTTTCAACTGAATCGAGTAAAATATAAAATAAATAAAAAAAATGGTCGCCAATCAGCCATTTTGGTCCAAAACTAAAAAAAATACGACTTGCATTTTCATACAAAGTTTGAATGAAATTGCCCTGTTCATCTCTGAGAAATGGTGCAAGACATGTTTAACCATGAGAAATGAGCGATGGCTAGTAATCAGAAAAAAAGGAAGGTGTTAAAAAGTGTTTGAAGTAAAAAGAAACTCCACAATCATGCAGCTGGTATGTATGCCATTCATGTGGCAGAAATGAAGATGAAGAGAAAGGATGGAGAAATAAGTTTACTCTGATGTGAAAAGTTTTTTTTTATATTTATACAACTAATTCAAATCACTGACCTGTTTCTTCATGTAGTTCTCCTCCCATGCTTCTTTCTCAACTTTGAGCCTTTCTTCAAGTTCTTTCACTTCCACCTACAAACAATGATACATCAAGTCTAGACTACCGGTATATGTAAACTGTCTGTTTCATGTAATCAATTTTCTTCCACTTTACGTAGTGCAGTACAAGTGATACAGTATTTATTTCCTTGCCATGTGGGACCAGAGACAGAAGTGGAGACAATGTACTCAAATGTTTATTATGTTTGAATTTTTTCTACACTTATAAATTGTCATTGTATTTTCTTACAATTTGTCTCATGAGAGTAAAACACCTGGAACAAAAAATTAAAACATGAGGGAAATGTTTTGTGTCTCATGTTTGGTGAACACTGAACGTCACATCAATTAAATTAAGTCAGGTATACCATATGTCTGTGTTCATTTTCATCTCTATTTTTCTCATATTCTTGTCTCATTGTATTCATAGCTTTTCTATTATTCTCCTCCATCTGCATCTGCAGTCTGTCAAGTTCCTGTCTTTGTCTCCTCGCTTGTTCTGCTACTCTGTCCTTTTCTTCTTGAATCTCGGCATAAAGTCTGCGTCGCTGCTGTTGAAATGCTGATTCTTCCTGTTCCAGTTGTTTTTCATAGCTGTGTTCAAGACAATCAAAAATTAAATTAATACAGTGGTGGTGTAGGTGGTTTTAACAATCAGAAATACAGTGACTATATTTGATCTATTAGTAGTATATACACTTACACAAATGACAGAGGTGTGTCTATATACAAAATTAGTAATATTTTAATGATACAGTATACAAAAAATGTTTTGTTTATGTGCTTCTCTTGAGAGATACATAGAGTAATTAGAAAATGAGTTGTGTATGGATAATTGGATCATAGATCAACACCTTTATATAAATGTACCTGATTAATCACTGACAAGTTGCTTGTAAATTACATGGTAATTTAGTAGTCATGCAGTGGTTTATGAACAAAGTGTGTTGTATAATTCATATGCACACTATGATGTGGAGCTTTAAGCAAAATTCTATATCTCATTTGTTTATGTCAAATTTCTAGTCAAGTCCCCAGTAGTGTTTAGCTTATCAGTGACAGTATATTTAGTAAACCTGCTAAATCATCAAGCCAAAATTATTGGTTTGCTCTCAATGACAATTTTTTTTAAATAAATTGTAAGTTTTGGTAAATTGACAATAGATAGCAAATATTGTTAAAAAGGTTGGTGCAGAGTTGTGAATTCATAATAATTCCTAATCTAAATGTTTGATCAATAGATAGTAAATATTGTTAAAAAGGTTGGTGCAGAGTTGTGAATTTATAATAATTCCTAATCTAAATGTTTGATCAATAGATAGTAAATATTGTTAAAAAGGTTGGTGCAGAGTTGTAAATTCATAATAATTCCTAATCTAAATGTTTGATCAATAGCTGTTGATAACTTTTCAGACTAGATATTGTCATTATTTGAAAATTAAAATTTATTCGCAAAAGAAATTTGCCTTTTAATAACTATAGTTATTAATATAATACAGATCGCTAAAATAACAATATTAGCATATTCTGATGAAGTAAAAAACAAATCATCAAAGCACTGGTGACAGCCAGTCTGACAGAGAGACAGAAGGATTGAGAGGAGAAATGTTGAAAATTTGTCTGTATACATACCGTTGTTTGGCTTGGTCTCTTTCTCTGTTACAAGCTGATTCTTTTTCTTCAGCCAGCTGATCACGAAGCTCCTCAATATGCTTGATGTATTTTTGACCAGCTCTCTCTTCCCCTTGTAACAGCTCTGCTTCATGAATAGTCTTGAGTTTCTTGATTTCAGCTTTGTGTTTAGCAATTAATCGTTGGATCTCAGGCTCAAGTCCCTTGACTGTGATTTCCTGGAAACATACACAATACAAAGTATATTACATATTGATTCGTGAAGAGTAAATTTACAATGTTTTTTATTTGCAGTTTTGTGTGTGTAAATTGCAAGCACTAAATGGTAAATACAGTTGATATTGCCTAAGAACTGCATTCCACATTTGGGACTCTGTGACAGGGTTGTGTGACCATCTTCCTATCCTATTGCCATTATGTCAATTCAATTTGTGATCCACAACTTAATCAAAACAACCACAATGTTTTTTTATATAACCAAATTGTATGAATGTCTATTGAGTTTGTGACACACTCACCTAGGGTAGGAAAATTCAAAATGTATAAACTTGAGACCTACTGAGTATGTGGGTCTAGCCAATAAACACTACGTAATGTAGTATCCAGAAATACCATCTAGATAACTAATACTTTACCTTGATTTTCTTGGTTTTTTCATCAATCCATTTTTCACGTCTTATTTTTTCTGCAGCTGCTTGGACTTCCTTAATTTTTCTCAGTTCTTGGCTATGTCTAAAACCACAACAACAAATCATGAGAAGTCATTGTATAAACAATAAGTAAGGGAAGCTTTCATGATACAAGTCACTATGAATATGTCAATATAAAGAATCAAGTGTATTGATACCAGTAGAATGATTGACCTACTGAGCAGCGTTCATTTTCACAAATAAAATTTCAAGCAACATTTTGATGTATTGTTTTACTCTTTTGTTAATTTCAGATCAAATGAACTTGATCAAAATTGTTTGCAAAATATTAGAAAAGTTACATGGATTTATTTTGTAAATGGTGAAAGAAGTTAACTTTTGGGATTCAAAGGACTGGCATACATTCCTTGACATATACTGTACTTGTCCAACTTACAGCCAACGGTACTCAGCTCTTGTGTGTTGAAGGGGGGGGGGGGGGTGCTTACCCAAGTTTTTTTATAGCATTTTATAGGGGGCACACACACATAGACACACTAACTGCACAGACTCCCATTGTGTGCTTCACACACAAGATTCAAAAATTGTTTGAACATGTGCTATTTTGTAACATTATTTGGGTAGTAAATCAAGCTAGAATTAATTTTTCTATGAAAAAACATATTGGTTGTTTACATGAAGCTGATTTCAACTAATATTTGATTACCCTGGTAGTCATATGTAAAATACAGAAGAAAAGATATTTTCACTGGATTTTATTTTCACAGACTTGTATGCCTTTAGAGAAAATAGCTAATTCAAAGTGAAACAAGCCATGCATGGCACAGTCCCCGCTAGTTATCAAATTTAAGATAAATAGTTTTGTTTATAATAATATAGCTGGAATATAACCATGTCAGGAATATGATTTTTTAACATTAAAATGATTGACATTTGTATCTGATCGTCAAACAAGTACTTGCTCTGGAACAGCATTTAAAATCGGCCATTTTGAATACACGTATATATATAACATGATGTATAACGATATATAAAATTTGAATATAATCAGTCAAAGCATTTAAGAGATATGGCTTTAGAACCCCAATCATTAAAGCAAAATGGCCGTCAGTGACATCATGTATAATGAATATTTAAAATTTGAATATAATCAGTGAAAGCAAGTCAGATATATGGCACGGGAGCCACATTCATTAAAATAAAATGGCCGCATTTTGAAACTTATCTGAACAAGCAGCCTCTCGGCTGAGATAGCTCCGCTGTTAGCAATGCACATTACAATTAAAGAACTGAAGATATCATTACAAAATGAACAAATCTGAGAGAGGTCCATATGTAGTACCTATATATGTAATATAAAAGCAATTGGACTTGCTGTTTTTATCAAGAAGTCGAAAATATCACTTTTTACCAAAAATGACAAAAATATTCACCAAAATTAGAGAATTGAAGATATCATCATGAAATGAACAAATCTGAGAGAGGTCTACCCAAGGTACATACACACCAAGCATTCAGGCTTGTAGTTTTCAAAAAGAAATCGAAAAAGTAAAACATTGACACGGATGATGACGGACACCGACGACGATGGACAATTACTCATATGATAAGCTCCGCTCGACAAAGTCTACAGCAAAGCTTAAAAACAAAATTATTTGCATCAAGATCCCATAACGTCTAATGTATATACCAAGTTTGAACAAAATCCATCTGTAAACAGCGGAGAAATGCTTGATTTTTAGGATTGTTTAGCACAAAAATAGCCGTAATTCGGCCATCTTGAATCAGATCATGAAACAAAATGATGTGCATCAAGGTCCTATAATGTCTAATGTATATACCAAGTTTGAACAAAATCCATCTGTAAACAGCGGAGAAATGCTTGATTTTTAGGATTGTTTAGCACAAAAATGGCCGCCATTCAGCCATCTTGAATCAGATCGTGCATATGTATAATATCATGTATGATGTCTGTGTGAAGTTTGATTGTGATTGGTCCAGACATTTCTAAGATACAGGTCTGGACACATACACAGACGCACACACGGACACACGGAGGTCAAAACATGCGTCCGAACGGGGACTAAATAGTACATGAGTCATAACGACACCTTCATCAGAAGCATATAAACTGGTAAACTTACTCTTCTTCCTGGTGTTTCATCTTTGTTTGGTATTTTTTATCAACTTCTTTCAAATCATGTACCACTTTATCATACTTCTCACTAAGCAATTTCTTGTCATCAATCAGCTGTAAAAACACAATAAATTTGTTTATTGCTTGTTGAAATCCTCTGCCCAAAGGAGAATCTGCCAAGAGCTTTTTAACCAACCAGATTGCTTCAATTGCTTGTTGAAATCTTCTGCCCAAAGTAAAATCTGCCAAGAGCTTTTCAATCAACTAGATTGCCTTGATGCCAGGCTGTCCAGTCTAATGTGATATTTTATAGTCTGGACAAAACAGGGTTTTATATCATATCAAGTCTAAGGCTTTTATATAAAACATGTAACAATTTTGACTTTGATTAAATACTAAGATAACCACTGCTAAAAGGAAACGTCTGACAAACTCTCAAGAACATGTGTTTGAATACACACTCAGGTTCTTAAGGTAATATGATTTCAATGCATGTCATTGGCTTTTAGACTACCATACGCGACCACGCGCCCAGGGGCCTCAACTCAGAAAATCATGATTTTTTAGGGGTGGGTGCTTACCCGAGTACCCCCCTCGAAAAAGATTGCAAATGAAAATTTGTATTCATCATGTGAAACATTGAGGAGGATATTACGTCTTTGAGGGAAAATCAAATTACTAAATTAATTTGCGTCATCACTGATTTTTACAATTAAAAAACAGAAATGATCACAAAAAATATGCACATTTTATTACAATATTAATTACGTACCACCAGAATTTTCGAAATTAAAAACATTAGAGTATGTCGGAACACAGTCGTAGTCAAAATTCTCATCATTATCTCCACTGACGAAAGTGTTGGATCGTACGCAAACTCTCGATGAAAATCACTTTCCGCCATGATGCATTTGCAGATTTGACTTTCAGCAGCGATCCTTTGACCTAATGGGTCAAGTTGGTTATTAACCAATCAGAATGTTGTGTTGTACCGATGTAATTCTTCTGAAATTCCAGAAGACTTTCTGGTAACGCAACACGGAAGTGAATTTTCGATGTCCAAGTACGATCTGTTGGAATTGATTTCAGCGAATAAATGACATGGTTTTTCCAAAAAACTGGTAACTAGCCATTTTTGAGAGGTAAACTGAATATGGCATGAAATATTTACCGCATTTTACTTGTATTAAGAGGTCATTGTCGAAGTATAGTTTACGCACGGTTACCGTGGTCCACGCACTCACAAGTGGGGGGTGGGCACTTGCCAGGGCATGGGCGCTAACGTGGTCGAGTACGGTATATGACATTAAGAGTTAAAATCATGAATATTTATAAGATGATCATTATGCAAATTTGATGAGAACAATAGCAACAAATTTCAAAAAAATCATGAGCTGTATACACATATATACTGTTATCATGTAGTGTGTGTAAGGGGAATCCATATATACTGTTATCATGTAGTGTGTGTAAGGGGAATCCATATATACTGTTATCATGTAGTGTGTGTAAGGGGAATCCATATATACTGTTATCATGTAGTGTGTGTAAGGGGAATCCATATATACTGTTATCATGTAGTGTGTGTAAGGGGAATCCATATATACCCACTACATTCATGAGCTGTATACACATATATACTGTTATCATGTAGTGTGTAAGGGGAATCCATATATACTGTTATCATGTAGTGTGTGTAAGGGGAATCCATATATACTGTTATCATGTAGTGTGTAAGGGGAATCCATATATACTGTTATCATGTAGTGTGTGTAAGGGGAATCCATATATACTGTTATCATGTAGTGTGTGTAAGGGGAATCCATATATACTGTTATCATGTAGTGTGTAAGGGGAATCCATATATACTGTTATCATGTCGTGTGTGTAAGGGGAATCCATATATACTGTTATCATGTAGTGTGTAAGGGGAATCCATATATACTGTTATCATGTCGTGTGTGTAAGGGGAATCCATATATACTGTTATCATGTAGTGTGTGTAAGGGGAATCCATATATACTGTTATCATGTAGTGTGTGTAAGGGGAATCCATATATACTGTTATCATGTAGTGTGTGTAAGGGGAATCCATATATACTGTTATCTTGTAGTGTGTAAGGGGAATCCATATATACTGTTATCATG